AAGCACTGTTTTCTTTGCGAAATTTATATAAAATTTTATGCGATATAGTTTACAAAAATTAATGCGTGTGTTAGAAACTTAAATAAACTAAAATTCATTTAAAATCCAACTTTTGATGTAAATAATTTGTTCAATTTTATATTTGTATACTAAAAGGAGTTTCTTAAAATTTACAATATTATTACAATTTATAAAGAATCCATTTATTGCTTGGACAATTTTTAATATGATTCGTTAAAGTAATTACATATATTTTCTACAACATTGTAATATCATTATTGTTTATATATTACGTTATTATTAATACCGTTTTATTATTTTAATCAGCGTTATCCTTACATTATAACTATTCTCTTATTAGTCCTTTAATTATTACGTTCGTTTTAATTAAATTTGCTTATTTAATAATCTCATATTAATTCTGATAAGCTGAGCACAATACAAGATGGCAATGCAGAATGACAATGTAAATAACAATATGCAAAACGATGATAATTTACCAGAAGTCATAGATATGACATGCAACTTGCATCAACCTAGTCTCGAGGAACTTGCCTCTGGTACGTACATGATATATGTGTAATACTTTAACCATCGCCGAACGATGCCTGGATCTATTCGGATCTAGATGTAGAAAATTGGTCTGACCGTTCGGTACTTGACAATGTGTGTGTCATTTGTTTATGTTAGAGCTGTCTCTAACAGATAACAAGGCGACCTGTTCCGAAAAGATGTAGTTTCTAACAGATCGGCTGATAGAAACTTATTTGAAATAAATGGAAGATCCTTGTTTGACAAGAGGAAAGAATGGATCCGAACTGCACCAGGCATCTTACTGCACGGTTGCCGAAACCGCCAATATTGAGCAAATTAACTAAAAGACACTACCAGTATTTTATACCTTATATATGTCATTGTATTATATTATGTCGTAATAGTTATGAACTTAAGTTTGGCTCATCACTTTAATCATGTCGCCGTCAATGTAGTTGAATGTCCTAATCTGTTGACTAGTCCGTATTTTCTTCCCGCACCGGGTAAGTAATCCAAATTCAAATTTAAATACATGTATTCGATTTTGCATGGCATTAAGAATACAATATTTTTGCATTTAAAGGAATATGTGGCGACGCGCAAGTAATAGAATTTGGTAATCACGAACATTTATATAACCCGTCAAAAAATAAGAGAGTATCATGGATTCTTCCACAATACATAAATCAATATACCAGCGGGACTTGCCACGTCATTGGAAACACTATGTCTCGCGGGATACCTAATAAAGATGTAGACACTATTTCATGCATATTAGGAATATACATATATTAATTCCTAGAGTATTTAAAGGATATATTATCTTATTGTTGCTACAAAAGAGTGCCATACTCTAATTTTAATTACTGTATCTCATTATTGTTAATTCAATTTTAAATAGGCTTCTGTTTTATTATTTTATCTTTATTCTTTGTAAATATTATTGCTGTAATTTCTGCTACAGGTCGGTATGAACTTTGTGTATTCGTCGGAAAGAGCTTTCCATAAGAGAGAAAGCAATTACATTTTTCTAAACGAAGAAGGACAGGTCGAGACAAAATTTATATCTGATTCCTGTCCTGTTCTTTGCGATCTCTATGGTAGCGTTTACGTTTGCAATGGCAAGCGGGATAAGGTTCTTGAAGTGTACGTAAAAGAGGATCGCAAATATGGTCCTCATATGGAAATTTTGACCCAAATGTGGAACGCAATTAGCTATCGTTATAACATGGCAGCTACTTGTGTCGGTATGATACAACCTAATAAAATGTATTTAATTAGTAGAAAAAAAGTATCATCACAGTAATCAATAGTTAATTTCTAAACATCGTAACAGATAAACGAATTTTTTGTGTTTGGTCTTGCAGGCTTGAGCGGACTGCTTTTTATAAGCAGTGGAAAGTTACTAGCTTCCGTTATGCCACGAACCTTTCCGCAAACTCTGTTGCAAAATAAGGAAGAAATTAATAATTGGAACCGTAATTTTAAAATTTCCGCACCTATGGTAGTTCATAGCACAATGTTTAACTCGAAAAAATTAAATATTATATATAACGAACGGTTATATGACAAAAAGGTATTTAAGTCATTGTATTATATACTTTTTATGTTCAAATCGACCATCGTTCAAATCGACATTAAGTTATAAATTTTAATATCTCTACAATTATTTATTATTCTTATCAAATTGTAATCCTTTTACACACCAATTACACATCACGATCAACGTATCAGTGTTATACATACAAATTTTATGCGCTTGTCTTGCTGATTGTTTCGGCGTTAACGTTATACACATATTTTAATTTTAAAACTGATACATTGTAAAAAATTCATAAATTATATACTTTTTAGTTTTGTACGGTTAACTCGCTCAGTAGCCATATATTACGGAACCCTAAAGAAAAACTCATAGCTAGTAGATTGTTTAAAAATATCACTGCACGGATGGAATGCAGAGGATATTTCAATGTAGTGTCTAAGCTCCATCGCGTTGGAGCTGAAGTGAAGGACTCCCCAAATTGATTTTTAATTTCCATTTCTGTGTTCCAAGCAACGTGGCCGATAATATTATAAATAAAATCTTATACAAACTACCCTCATTCCTCTTAAAACATTAAAATCCTTTAACATTTAATAAAGTCAATTTCCTTTTCCAAGCATTTTCTAAATTTATAAAAAAGACCTACATTTAGTATCTTTTTAAATCCGAGATGAAAAACATTTAAATAAATTATGCAATGAAGTAACACAAATATTTTCTTACATACACATATTTCAAATAAAAAAAGCAATTAAATATTTTATATTTTAATTAATGTGCTGAATAACAAGAAAAAACAAGAACTAATAAACTTAAAAGAAAAAAACAAAAATCGATTGGATTACTTTATTCTTTATGTTGCAACAGCGCCCGACAGCGACTTATATAACTACTTTTTATAATATTATAACGTTTTTATATAAAATTAAACTAAAACAA